TTGATTCCTGGCCAATAAATAGATGTTCTGGATCTTCTCTTACATTTCTCCATGCCGAGGTGTCCCTCATGCACCCGCTTCAACATCTCAGGTCTAAGTGACTCTGGAATGACAATTCTGTCTTGTCTCAATAACAATCTGTTCACAACACTCAGCTCTGCTCTGATGTTGTAGTATTGTTGACAGTCACCTTTTGGCCAGCCGTCATCCATATTTTTTATGACTCTCTGCAAAATTGCATCTTTCTTCGTTTCCGCAGCAATCTGGCTGGACTTCATGTCAGACACAGGTAGTGATTCAACGATCAAGTTGACATGGAACATCACATCAGTCTCTGTGGAACTCACACTATTGACATCACTCTGTGTTGTGGCTCTGGAGAGACCATCAGCAAGCACAATGTGCTTCCCTGGTGTGTAGATCAGCTTGAAATCATAACATTGTAGCTTCATCATAAGTCTCTGAATGTCTGGCGACATTTCACTGAGGTTTTTCTTGATGATGGCTATCAGTGGCTTGTGATCAGTTTCTGTTACAAATCCTGGAAGGCCATATACGTAGCTGTGGAATTTTTCAAATCCATATACCAGTCCCAAACACTCTTTTTCAATCTTAGCATAGCAACATTCAGCTGTTGTCATAGCTCTTGATACATAGGCCACAGGCTTCCAATCTTCTCCATCAGCTTGAAGCAACACAGCTCCAATCCCATTTTTTGAAGAGTCAGTTGAGATCTTTGTCTTTTTAAATGGATCATAGAATGTCAATACTGGCTCTATCGTGAGAGTGGTTTTCAGTTGTGACCATTCCTGTTCATGGCTGTCTGTCCATTTGAGTTCAGTTTTGTTGTGCAACAACTGTCTCAGATGTACCGTCTTTGAAGACAGGTTTGGTATGAACTTGCCAATTAAATTTATCATGCCCAATATTCTAAGTACACCTTTTTTATCCTCTGGTCTGGGCATCTCCAGTATTGCCTTCAGCTTGCTTCGATTTGGCTCTATGCCCTCGTCAGACAACTTGTCTCCCAGGAATGTTATTTCCCTCACTCCAAACTGACATTTTTCTTTGATCAGCTTCAGATAATATTTCTGGATTCTCTGTAGCACTTGTACAAGTCTTTCATTGTGCTGTTCGTGTGTAACTCCCCACAGTACAATATCATCCACGTAGACCCGCACACCTTCAATACCTTCAATGACGTGCTCCATAGTCCTGTGAAACACTTCAGGGGTCAAGCAGATTCCAAACGGCATCCTTTGAAAGGAATAGCGTCCAAATGGTGTGTTGAACATGTAGTATTTGGTGCTGTCTTCATGTAGCTTTAACTGCCAAAATCCTTGTGATCTATCCAGTTTAGTGAAAAACTTTGCTCCTGCCATTTCACTTGTTATTTCCTCCTTTGTTGGAATCTGGTTATGTTCCCTCTTTATGTTAGCATTCAGATCTTTTGGATCCATACACACACGAAGGCCACCAGTCATTTATCCAATACAAACCATTGAGTTCACCCATTCTGTGGGCTCCTCCACTTTCTTGATAACTTCCAGTGATGTCATTCGATCCAGCTCTTTTTTCAGCTCTTCTCGTAGTGATACTGGAACTCGCCTGGAAGCATGGACCACTGGCTGTGCATCATCTTTTAGCTGAATCTTGTAGGTGAATGGTAAGACACCAAACCCTTTAAAGAAACTTGAGTAATGATCCACTATTACATCCACACGGTTATGTGCATTCATGTTGATACTGTACACTCTCTTGACAAGACCCAACTTTTCACATGCTTTGTCTTTAGTGTCAATGAGTTGTCCATTATAGGCTTTGAGTAGCTTTGCTACTCTTGGTAATATCGCTGAATGTTTTAGCACGCTGCAGGGCTAATTCACTAGCATGACAAATCTTCACAGCCCCAGTTAGCTCTGTCTCGCGTAGCAATCTCTCCCTTACGTTCACGTCTTTAATGTCGAACACCACTTGGTCACGGATCATTGACTCTTGGAGTACTCCAAAGTTGCATGTTCTACCTTTCAACTTTAAATCTGTGAGAAAGGCATCAAAATTTTCAGCCGGCTGCTGCTTTGGTGAACAGTGTTCATCAAACATTTGGATGACTGTGTCATACTTGTCCATATCATCTCTGTCAGCATACACAAACGTGTTGTATACCTCTAGTGCTTGAGGTCCAGCAACGGTAAGAAGAAGCGCTATTTTCCGTGCGTCTGGCTTCCTATCCAGTCCGAAAGAACTGCAGGTACAGCAAGAAATGCTGTTTGAACGTCTGCCACTCACAGTCCACATTTCCAGTCCAATTCATAGCGTCAGGCGGCTTCACACTTTGCATGACAGCGGACTTCGGACCACTTCGGAACTTGAATCACTCCTGGTACCTTGTGTTGTTCCTAATATAATGAAGAAACTGGGTTTGAATCGTTCAACTCTTTAATCTGCAGCTCTCAGTAAAACTCATACAACATCCATCATGTGTGATCTTCTTCTATGCTCTACACATACCCAGCTTAAGATAAATCATGGCCCCCTGCTGGTATGAGCAGGTAATTACACCTATTACTATAGGAAGTACTTTATCACTGTCCATTCAACTCGGGGAAAAGAAAAGAATAATATTTATAATATTAATTATAATATCATGAATATAATATTTTGGCAGTCGCCACACAACATAATGTATTGTTATTTCATAGTAATATGTGACACCTGCGCTGTTGTCAGTGTCTTATTGCCTCAGCCAATGCCTTTTTTCTATCTCTTCTGTTTAGCCTCATGGCATGGACGATCAGCTCAAGTGACCACTAACTCTCAGAACACCATCTTCTACCAGTGGGCAGAGTCTATATATGTGGCTGCAACTGTTCACACAATTTCGAAGTCTGGGAAAGTTCCTCTGGAAACCTCTCCCTTTGGCACAACCTGATGATTTCCACTCCACTGACAGAAAACTAGAAACTGTCCTGTCATCCACATCCAGATTTGACTGTGCAAGAGCCATGCTCGATTGTCTCCTCTTCTGGAATCAAGACAACAGCCAACAAGAATGTGCAAGAGCAACTTAAACATTGAAGACTGGAAATAATGTAACAGCCTTCCCCTCATCCTGTACTGCCACAGATTTCATGACCTCAGGATCTTTTGATGGATGTTGATGGAAATCGTCAGGACTGATAGGTCACTCACTTTGAAGTTCAAGGTGAAACTGTGGACTTGACACCCATGTTTCATTCTTGAAAAATGCATTTAATTTTACACCTCTAGAGGCCACAACAGCTGGTATAATTGCACTGTCTACATACCTCCACTGATAGGATTGTGAAGCCTGAGAATTACTGAAACCTGGTTGGCAACAAAGACTCTAAATCTGGAAGTTTTATTTCTGATGTATTTAAGTACAGATGCACCTGAAACTTCATATGGAACTATCCTCCAAAATACATCATTGCAACCTGTCATTGTGTTGGCAATTAGCTCAGTTTAAGGATGGTAACAGACTTAAATAGAGTAACCCTAACCTTTCTGCCAACTGCCAACTTTGACTGCCAACCTCTGCAGTAAGAGGACAACAAACTTTAACACCTGAGCCACAGTCACCCTCAGGGACCAATGTGAATTTATTTACACTGATTTCCTTGAGTTGTAGCTTTTCCTTGAAGCAGCATTCAGATGACACTCAATGTAAATGACTCATCTGAGGCATGGGGGAATGAAGAAAGTATCTATCTATATCGCTGTCGCTCACTCTTCGGTTTTATTTTGTAATTCACAGTCCTTATGTGCCTCTTGTTGTTTTACTTCCTCTCTCCATATCCCTCTGTTGATTGTCACCTGTGTTTCGCGAGTTACCTGTGTCTTGTCTACCTAATCAGTTCTCGGTGTATAAATAGCTTGTTCTGTTCCTACCTGAATGGATGTGCTCCTCATGTTCACCAGGCTTATGTCTTGGATTTTTTGATTTGCTCTGGATTAGTTACTTTGATGGGGCTGCAAGGTGGAGCGGTGGTTAGCATCATGAACCTGGTCAACTTCGCAGCAAGAAGGTCTCCGGTTCGCGTCCCGGTGAGGACACCTAGGATTTTTCTGCGTGGAGTTTGCAAGTTCTCCCTGTGCACCATGAGTTCTCCGGCTTCCTACCACAGTCCAAAAACATGTTGAGTTTTATTGGTGATTCTAAATTATCTGTAGGAGTGAATGTGAGTGTGCTAGGTTGTCTGTCTCTAAATGTAGCCCTACGATAGACTAGCGACCTTTCCAGGGTGTCCCCTGCCTTTTTGAAGCATTTTGAAGTAACACTTTAGAAAAAGCTGATGAAGCAACTAAAAAAAAAAAATCCTTATTCACAAAACATTTTATTCTCACTGAGGTGGTTTTTTTTTTTCAGAAAAGGGTTAATGTACCTCATGGGAAATGGAAACATCTTATTTAGAATTTAGAATAGGTTCTGGTGTAGCAAACATTTAATTCATGCCTGATCAGCTGTTCTCCTACTCTGGTGACTACAGTCCTGCACATCTGACCACTCTATGCAGTCTAGTTTATTCACTCCAAAACAGGTAATGGACACATTCACGTTTTTATGTATTGTTTTGGTTGTTGTTGTTTTGTTTTATTTTGCAACACTTCAAAAGTTCACTTTAAATGCACTTGACAGTTACATGGAAACATGGCTTAAGTGATCAATACACCAAGCTTTGTTCGCTGACAGATGGAAAAGCGTCTTCATCACAGATACAGAATTTATCTGCTGTGTCAGGTGCAATGTGGTACTCTTACAAACTCAGAATATACAAAGGTTTTTACTCATGTGTAAATGTATGTGTATGCTTAGTACAGTAATGTTTTCACACAGGGTTTTAATGGGTCCCAGAGGGGGAGAGAGATCTTTCTGTATCCAAGCAAGCAGAAGTGAAGGAGCCTGTTGCCGTGTTTTTTTTTTACTACAGAGGATTACGACAGCCCCTGACTTTACGACACCGACTTGCGTTTACGGCAAAACATGGCGCTACACATATAATCTCAGTAAAGAAGTGAGGTACTGAAGTATAGGCTCTTGCGTGTTTAGTTTTTGTGTTAGTTTCGTTTTGTACTCACGTGTCCTCTACAGAGCTTTGTACAGCAGCAGCTCTCCGTCGGAGGACACATGGCCGTGCAGAGAGGCGTCGCGTTCCAGGAGAAGGTCAGGCGGCAGCTGAGCGGACACAACGGGAAACCGGTGCTGAAACCCAACAAGGCTCTGGCTCTGAGAGACGCTGTAGCCAACCGCAAACTCAAGAAAGGAGGTAAGAATGAAGACTGACTGTCTGCCGGCTTCCATCAGGTCAACAGAGACACATAGAGCTGGAGACATCAGGTCTACATGTCAGCTCCTGGTGTTCCAGCAGGTGGGCATGAGGACTGATGAGGGCTGCTGCTGTGTCAGGCTTTCATGGTGTCATCATTTCAGAAACTATCGTGGTTTTACAATGTGTCATATTGCAGAGTTATGAGAGCTTAGTCTTTTCCTTCCATGCTACACTCTACTTGTACTCCATTAGCGACCGTATATTGCAGCAGTTAAGTAAATGTATTTGGTTACGTTCCTTGACTTGTTAGAAAAACAATACATGACCTCTGAGCTTTTCAAAGTATGTTCTGTAATTTACGTTTGCTGTGGGTGTTTGACAGTGCGGCCCCGGCTCAGGGTGTGTGTTAGTCCATCAGGTCTAAAGGGTGAAAACATGCACATTTAGTCATCTGTCGACTCCACAAGGTCCACATGCAGGTTGTATGCACTGCAGGTGAGCTGCTGCACAGGAGTTTATAAAAGGTAGAAAGTGTTTTATACATATTGTAATACCATATTAAAGCCTTTAGTCCCTTTAGTTACACATAAAATGTAAATAGTTATCTATAGCTATAATTCTTATATAATTCAGATAATATGTGGATTTTACTGCATTTTAACATTAGCTTTATTTTAACATTCGTGTACTATATATGATATACATTTAAACCATCCATCCATCCATTATCTATACACCGCTTAATCCTCGTGGGGGCCTGGAGCCTATCCCAGCTGACTCAGGGTGAAGGCAGGGGACACCCTGGACAGGTCACCA